GTAGAAACACCCTTTTGAGCTAATACAGTCATGAGTCTTTTTGGGAATGATGCAACAAGTTTTTCACACCTGCATTTGGGGATCCTCTGCCATTCCTCCTTGCAGATCCTCTCCTGTTCTGTCAGGTTGGATGGTAAACGTTGGTGGACAGCCATTTTCAGGTCTCTTCAGAGATGCTCAATTGGGTTTAAGTCGGGGCTCTGGCTGGGCCATTCAAGAACAGTCACAGAGTTGTTGTGAAGCCACTCTGTTATTTTAGCTGTGTGCTTAAGGTCATTGTTTTGTTGGAAGGTGAACCTTTGGCCCATTCTGAGGTCCTGAGCACTCTGGAGCAGGTTTTCGTCCAGGATATCCCTGTACTTGGCCGCATTCATCCTTCCCTCGATTGCAACCAGTCGTCCTGTCCCTGCAGCTGAAAAACACCCCCATAGCATGATGCTGCCACCACCATGCTTCACTGTTGGGACTGTATTGGCCAGGTGATGAGCAGTGCCTGGTTTTCTCCACACATACCGCTTAGAATTAAGGCCAAAAAGTTCTATCTTGGTCTCATCAGACCAGAGAATCTTATTTCTCACCATCTTGGAGTCCTTCAGGTGTTTTTTAGCAAACTCCATGCGGGCTTTCATGTGTCTTGCACTGAGGAGAGGCTTCCGTCAGGGCACTCTGCCCTAAAGCCCCGACTGGTGGAGGGCTGCAGTGATGGGTGGCTTTCTACAACTTTCTCCCATCTCCCGACTGCATCTCTGGAGCTCAGCCACAGTCATCTTTGGGTTCTTCTGTACCTCTGTCACCAAGGCTCTTCTCCCCCGATAGCTCAGTTTGGCCGGACGATCAGCTCTAGGAAGGGTTCTGGTCGTCCCGAACGTCTTCCATTTAAGGATTATGGAGGCCACTGTGCTCTTAGGAACCTTAAGTGCAGCAGAAATTTTTTTGTAACCTTTGCCAGATCTGTGCCTTGCCACAATTCAGTCTCTGAGCTCTTCAGGCAATTTCTTTGACCTCATGATTCTCATTTGCTCTGACATGCACTGTGAGCTGTAGGGTCTTATATAGACAGGTGTGTGGCTTTTCTAATCACGTCCAATCAGTATAATCAAACACAGTTGGACTCAAATGAAGGTGTAGAACCATCTCAGGGATGATCAGAAGAAATGGACAGCGCCTAAGTTAAATATATGAGTGTCACAGCAAAGGGTCTGAATACTTATGACCATGTGATATTTCAGTTTTTCTTTTTTAATAAATCTGCAAAAATGTCAAAAATTCTGTTTTTCTGTCAATATGGGGTGCTGTGTGTACATTAATGAGGAAAAAAATGAACTTAAATGATTTTAGCATATGGCTGCAATATAACAAAGAGTGAAAAATTTAAGGGGGTCTGAATACTTTCCGTACCCACTGTATATTTATTTTTTTATTTAACTGTCAATCTTGCGAGACAAACTGAAAGCAGCCATCATACAGAAAGTCAAATGACGAATCACATTACTCCTTCTTGATCATTTCCTTTAAGGACAGATGCAGCTCTGACACTTGACCACTGTGGTTTTCAATTACAGACAGAACTGCTGCGACACCATCAACATGATCATTTCTTCTCATCTGGACTGAACAAGAAGAGCTGAGCCATTCTTCACTTTCCCCCAAGAGAATTCTGAAATGTTTGGTTTGACAGCGTAGAAGCTCCAGTGCAGATGAGACCATGCAGCCAAAGGGCCATCCAGCAGTGTCCAGGCTGAGCTGTGTGTACGTGTCACTCATCCAGTGAACTATACATGCCCATTAGCTGAGATCCTCGACATGTATACCTGGACACAGTTGATGAAATGTTTTCAGACAACGTATTAAGGTTTCCATTTCTATCCATCAGCCATACATGGATTTTCTTCCCACAGATGACTTTCACTACTTTGCCATTTGTCTTGTTAATGAAAGCAGATATCTCTTCTGTTCTTCTAGAAAGTTATTAAAAATGGAAACTCAGTGTGTGACTTGTTATAATAAGGTATTTAGAAAATTGCCCGTTTTCACATCAATTTGAGCACCGTGTCTGGTTATAGGAGCTTTTTGCACAACTCCAGGTCGACATCCTGCTGGGGACTCATGCTGTAACATCTATAATCGTCTTCAATGCTTCTCCAGTCGGCTTGTGGCCAATTATAAATGCATTCTCAGACGACAGAGTGCGATGTGGAGCCTGCGTGTGCAAAATGTGTGTTTCTGTATGTGTGTCTGTGCATACATGCACCTACAGTATCCTCAGACATGATTTATTTAACAATTGATGTGGAGATGAACTCAATCAGCATTTTCTATGATCCCATAAAACTGATGAAAATGCTGATATGTGATTTAGTGTCTATGACAACCAAATCTGCACTTGTTGTTTACAAAGGGTGGAATGTCCGCTGGGAATTTTGAGGATGTCTCCCTCACTTTGCCTGGCATAAAGTGAAACACTGCAGATTTCTTCCACCTACCACCTTAATTATACAGAAGAGGAGTTAAATTTTGTTTTCTCATGTCCTCTTTACTGGGATGATTCACAAAGACTGCACTGCTGTTCACATAAGAAACATTTAATCTGGATAGTTACTTGGAGAAAGTCTGGGCTTTAACAGGATAAACCTGTAGATTTATTTCTCTCTCTTTTACTATTCTGTCTAATACCTAGGATAACTAAGGAGATACAGTATGCTATGGCAGACGTTTTAACCCGAATGAGCCAAAACATTATGAGCACCCTGCTAATGTGTCGTTGGTCAAAACAGCTCTGACCTATCGATGCCTGGACTCCACAGACCTGTGAAGGTGTCCTCTGGTATCTGGCACCAAGATGTCAGCAGCCTCCATGGATCACACTTGTTTATCCAGCACATCCCACAGCTGCTTGATTGAATTGAGATCTTGGGAATTGGAGGCCAAGTCAACACCGTGAACTCTTTGTCATGTCCCTCAAACCAGGACAGG